GTAGACCTGAGACGAGCTAGCTTCCCCAAGCCAAGGAGAGCTGGCTCATCCAGTCTCCTACCCATCGTGTCACTTCCTGTTTGGGCCTTCCTCTACTTCAGTGGTTCTCAGCTGGGGGCAGTTTTGCCCCCCAGGGCACATTCAACAATGTCTAGAGATGGTTTTAGTTGTCACAACTGCCGGAAGAGAGGGAAGTTCTACTGGCGTGCTGTTGGTAGAGGGACTGGAGATACTGCTAAACACCCTATAGTGCACAAGACAGCCCCCCACCTCCCACCCCAGCGTAGGATGATCTGGCCCTGAATGTCAGACATGTGGCAATGGGAAACTGACCGTCCTCGGGCTGTATTTAAAGGGCACCCTTGGGCTTCCCTGGTGGCGCAGTGGTTGAGAGTCCGCCTGCCGATGCAGGGGACGCGGGTTCGTGCCCCGGTTTGGGAGGATCCCACATGCCGCGGAGCGGCTGGGCCCGTGAGCCATGGCCGCTGAGCCTGCGCGTCCGGAGCCTGTGCTCCGCAACGGGAGAGGCCACAGCAGTGAGAGGCCCGCGTACCCAAAAAATAAATAAATAAATAAAGGGCACCCTGAAAAAAGGGGTTATCTTGCACTCCTCTGCTCCAGGAGAAGAGGTTCCTTTTGCATTGCCCAGACAGGGAATCCTCAGTCAGGCTGTGCCCAGATTCCTCATCTGTAAAATGGGAGTGATGAGACTAGTACCTACGTGACAGGAGTGTGGTACGAAGTAATGTATTTAACAAGTGCCAGCTCTTACTACTGGCATGAGCCCAGTGTGGGCACCCAGCAAAGGGATGGCTACTGAGCGCCCCCCTCCCGGAGCTCAGCATCCTCCTGAAGCTCGGGCTGTAGCTGAGGGAGACCCAGGAGGACCACGGCATGGACCCTGGGCCTGCTGCTGCTGTCCTGCGCCAGGCCTTATGAATGACGACGGCTGGCGGCCCGGAGACCTATGACCCGCGGCGCTCGCCGCGCCCCTCCCCCGCTGGCAGGTGGACAGCGGCTGCGCCGGGGTTGGGGTGGGGGGGCCGCGGCGCCAACCTTGGCTGGCCGGCAGCCGCTGCAGCACTGAGCGGGGGCGGGGGACTGCGGCGCGCACGGGCCCGAGCGAGCGCCCGCCTGGACCGCCTTTTGGGCCTCGGAGCGCGGCGCCGCCGCCCGCCAGCCTCCGCCGCCCCGCCGGGCGGGCCAGGGGAGCAGACTGCACCTCCGCCCCGCCCTCTCATCCCCGGATTGACACTGAACGTTCTGCCGGGGGCTTGCCGGACAGCGCGCCTCCGCCAATTGGCGGCCTCGCTGGGCGGACCCCAGGCCCTGTCGCGAGCCTCGGCCAATCAGACGCGTAGGCCCGCCCAGCTGGGGCATCGCAAGCGCGCGAGTGGTCAGGCGTCCTAGGGGCGAGTCGTGGGTCCGAGGGCCTATGGCAGCACGGGAGGGTCACGGAGGACCAATGGGCGGCGGCGCAGCACCGTCAATCAGGGCGGCCTAGGCCAATGAGCTGCGGGCTGCGGGGGCGTCACGGACAGCAGCAGCGGACTTGGGCTGAGGTTCCCGGGCGGGCGGGCGCGGAGAGACGCGGGAAGCAGGGGCTGGGCGGGGGTCGCGGCGCCGCAGCCAGCGCAGCCAACCCGAGGGGCCGCCGCCGCCGCCGCCCAGCGCGCTCCGGGGCCGCGGGCCGCCTCCAGCACCCGCCGCGCCGCAGCTCCGGGACCGGCCCCGGCCGCCGCCGCCGCGATGGGCAACGCCGCCGCGGCCAAGAAGGGCAGCGAGCAAGAGAGCGGTGAGTGCCCGGGCCGTGACCCCGATCCCGGCCCCGCGCTGCCAGCCCCCTCCTTATCCATCACTGCCTGGCCCCTCCCCCTACGCGCCCCCCCATTTCTCTCTGCTTACCCCTCAGCGCCCCTTCCCCTGCCTGTCTAAGGTTGGGGCCCAAGGCCCGCAGATGGCCTCGTAGGAGCCCCCTTGCCAAAGACCGCCCCCCACTGCAAAGACTGTGTTCCCCCCCAGCTGTCACTGCCAACCATGGCACGTATGACCGCTGGGGCCCCACATGGGGCCCTGTCACCACCCCACTGTCTCCTCTCCTGGTCCCTCTCCCCAGATTCTAATCCCTCCACTTCCTCACTCACCTCTTACACAGATGTGACCCACTGCCAAACCCCGACCCAGGCCTCTGCCAGTCTGGGAGTGCTATGGGGTATGCCTCCAACCCAAAGGGACCTTGGCCACTTGGTGACCACACCCCTCCCCCCCTCCAGCCCCCGCCATCTTTCTCCTGCCCTTCCCCTCTTCACCTTATCACAGCCCCCCTCCAAACCCACTCTGTCCCCTTTGAGCACTTCCCAGAGCCACCTCCAGCATTGTTTTTCTCTTCTGTGTCACTTGGCATGGGGGACAGGATCTTTCTGGGTCCCTCTGCCCCTCTCTCACGCTGTCACTCCGCTTCTCTGCTTGTGCTTTCTCCTCCAAGCAAGCGTCTGTCCCTGGCGGGGGTAGCAGACTGTTTATGAACCTAGAGAACTACTCCTGTGCTTCAAAAGCCAAGTTTGAGCCTATCTTGCTGGAATTCATTGCATCCTCTTTCCGGGGTTGGGGTGGGAGGGGGATGTCAGCAGAGAGCCCCTTCCCATATCCTGCTGTTCCATGAGCTCTAGGCTCCCTGGAGGGCCCTTCAGTAAGTGGTTGTTTCACAACTGAGGCTCTGTCATTCACCCAGTCCCCCAGGCTTCCTCACCCCCTCCTGGCTTCGGATGAAAAGTAGAGGATGAAGAGGGTCTGGGCTTAGCAAGGCTCATTCAGCTTGAGCTGGGATGGTGAGAAGGAGGAATCAAGGGATGGCAGTTGGGAAGAGAAGTGGTTGACATCTAATGACTTGCTTTGCCAAGAGACAAATAGATTCTGATCATTCCCAGCGTTCAGCTCCGAAATATATTGGCCTTTTCCAGCCAGCCGGGGAAAGAGATTCTTTATCTGGAAATGCCTTCAGAAATGGTCTCCAGCCCCTTCCTCAAGTCCTCCAGCTCTTAAATTGTCATCACTCCAGGCCTAAAGCTGGACCTCAGCTAGGATCCCCTTCCAGTTACCCAGAAATAGAGTTGAAAAGGAATGGCCATATCCAGACATGCTCTTCCCAGTTACTGGTCTCAAACCCCAGTGTCTGAGTTCCCTGAATGCTCCCTCCCAGAAAGACCCAGGCATGAAAGCCAGGGAACTTTATTCCCACCCAGACTCAAATGGCAGAACTCAGAGTCACTGAGCAACCATGGAGAGGCCTGACATGTCACCGATGGGTGGGGGACGGGAAGGCAAGTGCCTGTAGCTGAGCGCTTGATGACAGAGGAGCAGGTGGGTAGTGACCAAAAAAGGTCTGGGCATGAGCTTGGAGGGGACTAGGCAGAGGGGGAGGGGCCGGGCCCCCAGCAGGTGAGACTGGCTGAGAGGTGGAAGGTGGAGGCAGGCAGCTGTACATTTCAGTGGCTCAGTTGAAAGTTGGGGAGATGACATAGTCCTGGAAAACTTTCAAGGCGTATCAAACACATGCAGTGGGGAGTGGGGGTGGAAAGCCACACAAGGAAAAGGAGCCCTAAGAAAAAGATCAGAGGCTTTGGAAGGAACCGCTAATTCAGAGCACAGGCCGGACACCCAGGAATGGACTATCAAGGTGAAATAGAGCCACTGTTTATTGGGCATCTAGGATGTGCCAGGCTAAATGGTCTCCACAGATCTATCTGCTCGAGTGATTTTTTCATAGCGGGCTGTTATCTGAATTTTCCAAACAAGCTCTCTGAGTTTGACATAGATGATGCCACAGAGGCAGGATTCACATCCAGATCCACCTACCAGACAACTTCCTGGACCCCAGGGTTTCCCAACTCAAACATTCTCAAGCCGCCTCCCTGATTTTTACTATATTCACTTCTATTTTGTTAACTTAAATAAAAATTTTGACTCACTTTTGTTCAGATGTAAATTTTGATCTGTCCTAAGCAATATTATAAATGAAATCATGGGATTGCTGTGCCAGTTATATTCTCTCTGATATGCATTAAAATACAGTGTAACTAGAAAAGTGAAACATCCCTAAAATCATTTCATGCCCTGCCAGTGGGACCTATGTCACACTTTGGGAAATGCCCTAAGCTGTAATTCCTTCCAGAGGCTTGCAGGGGCTCTCAGAGAAGGAAACAGGATGAGGAAGTAAGCCCCTCTTCGCTTCACATCTCCAATTCTGAGAGGATGGAGTTAAGACAAAATTTGCCTTCTCGTAACTAGGGTCGGGTGGGCGTGGGGTAGTAGTAGCCAGGCCAGCCTGCAGGGGGCACCTGAATTTCATCTGCCAGATGTCAGCCCCACTGGAGTAAGGAAGATGACCGAACCTTAGTAGGCACCAGTTCAGCATCCTGCAGCCCCCTATACTACCGGCTCCATGCCGGGGCAGGACAGCATTGGCTTCCTCCCAAGAGGGTAGGGATCCAGAATGAGCCCTGGGGTGGGGTGAGGGAAATCTCTACCCAGAGTTGCCAGAGCCATTGGCAGGGGCCTGGGTAAGATGCTAAGAGGGCAGAGAGAAACAAGACCAAGCCCTGGGCCCTGAGCAAGCTGGAGGAATTGAGAGAGGGCAGTGGCCTCAAGAGGCCCTGGGACAGGCGGCCAAGTGGGGCTCAGGCCTTGGCTGCCCTGGCCAAAGGCACCCCTGAGAGCTGGTCCATGGGAGAAGGGACAGGTCTGGTGAGAAGGAGCCCTCCAGATACCATCCCCCCCACCCCAGGTCCCAGGGACAAGCAGATCCAGGCTCCGGGAGTGAGAACTGCCCCCAAGAGGTCCCTAAATGGGAAGAATTGTGGCCACAGAAGTCTGAGAGGGCCAAACACCGTCTGTGCGTTGGCAGTTGTATGGGTGCCCAAGAGGGTCCTGCCAAGGCAGCTTTTCCTTTAGCCCAACCAGGCTTACAGAAGCTTGAGGGTCCTCTCTGCCCCTTCCCTGCACCCACTGGCCCCAGGTTGGGTTTCTTTTCCTGACACCACCCCACAACTCCCTGGCTCCCCCTATAGGCAGGGCTCTGGGGATGGGCAGCTAAGCTGGTGCAGCAGGTGTCATGAGCCTTCCCAGCCACCATAGTCCTGGTGCCCTGAGCGGAAGACTTGAGTGATGGCTTCCAACCCCAGCGATGGTGAGGCTGAGCCCTGTTGCTATAGCAACTTACCAGGCACTCTCTGACACTCAAGTCAGGGAAGGACTGCAGTAGAGTTTAGGGAACAGGTGAAGAGGCAAAGTCTGTGGACCCCTGACTGGCCCTAGAAACCCTCCCTTACTAACAACCCTGAGCTGGGGGGCCTGGGGAAGAGCAGGCGAGATGGTTGGTTCAGTTCAGACAAGGAGGGGATGGTCACCCAGAGCGGGGATCCAGCTCAGAGCCATGCAATGGGGTAGTCCAGCTCAGTGTTGAGGTTCAGCTCAGATTGGGGGTTGGTCCAGCTCAGTGATGGAGTCCACGTCATAATGGACAGTGGCCCAGTATAGAATGAGGGTCCATCAGACTGCGGGTCGGTCCAGTCCAGTGTTGGGGTCCAGCTCAGGCTGGGGGATGGTCCAGTCCAGGACTTGGCTTTCCGGCCCCAGAATTTCCAGAACAACCAGGTTTCGGGGAGCAGCAGGTCCTGAGATTGTTGTCTGGGGGCGTCTGAGGCTGGGCTCCTGCCTCCTGATGGGGCCCTGGCTTTTTGAGGGATGCTCTCTCTGTGAGCTCCAGTTGAATCAGGACCACGGTGGAGGCTGGCACCCCTCCTGTGGGAGACATGGGCCGGCTGACAGCTCTAAAGACAGCAGACAGCTGGGTTTCCCTTCTCTGCCACTTCCTGTTGTCAGCAGGGGCCATGGGTGCCAGGCACTCTCGGGAGAAGCTGCCACTGACCCTCCACTTCTTTTGGGATCTGGAAAGAAGGAGGAAGATGATCAAGGCTGCCTCCCCCTCCCCCACCCCGGGGTTTAGCGTTTCGTTTCCGGTTTGGACTTGCATGGCTGAGAGCAGAGCCAAGCACAGGGCAGGGTTTGATAGAGGCCAAGGACATCCCAGGATGCCATTCCCCTCTCCGCCCCTGCATAGAAGCAAGACAAAGTCAGATGTACCCATTTCTTTCTCAAAGTAGCAGAATTTGGGGGCTCCAGGTTCAAAGAGCACTTGGGGGAGGAGATAGGGTAGCTCTCACTGCGCCCCCCCCCCCAACTCCCGCCTTTCTCTCCAGCTGCTCTTTCGTCTAATTAACGGAGCTCTGGGGCCTCTTTGGCCCCCAGGGAGGCCCCAGCTGCTGCCTGGGCCTGAGCCTTAACTCCTTCCCCTCTGCCCAGTGGGCACTGCCCTGGGCACATTGGGTGTCATCCTCAGGGTAGTCCAGCACCCACTGAGAAAGGCAGGGCCTGGCAGCCCAGGGGCAGTGTAGTCCCTGGAAGGGGAAGTTAGCTTTAGCACCCTGCCCCCAGGGCAGGCAGGCCAGCCTGAGGAGGGACACCCTCAGGACAATCTTCCCACCACCTCCTGCCAAGGAGGGGCCTTTACAAACCTTGGCCAGCGGGAGCAGGTACCTTTAAATGCTTCCCTGGCAACCAGCTCCTCCTCCCCTGTCCCCTGAGGCCTTCCCGAGGAAGCCAGCTCAGAGGCTCTGCGTATTCCTGGTTTCCCTGCAAAGGGAAGGTTCCAGGGAGAGCTTAGGGAGGCCTGGGATGGATCTGGGGTCAGGTAGAGGCTGGGATGGGGACTCAGAGACCACCTTCCAGCTGTGGCTGCAGCTGCTTCTCTGGGGCCATGTGATTGTCCGTTTCCTGGGCTACCTGCGCCGCACCCTCTGGGCACCTAAGCAGCAGCCAGCACCCTGAGCCTCGCTGGCCAGGGGTAGATGGGCCCCAGATCACCCCATCCCACTCTACCCCCCGTTTTTCCCTCTGCTGGAAGAGGCAGGAAGCAGAGGTGAGTATGGGGGCTCCTGGCTGGGGTTCCCCCCATCATTATCCCTCTTTATCTGCCCACTCTTTCTGGTACTGCCACACCCTGTGCCCCATCCCCAAATCTGGCAAGCTGATGACACCAGAGAGCACACAGCCTGGGCCCTTCAGCACTTCGAAAGGCCAGAACAGGGCTGTGTCAGAATCAAGGCACCGCGCGGAGCCTCTTAGTGGGGTACCAGCAGACAGACAGACCCACCAAGTTGGGAAAAACAGGACATGGCAGTTCTCAGGGATTGCTGAGAGCAAAAGAGGAAGCAGGACCAGGCTTTCTCCTGGATTCCTCTTAAACTCGCTCCTCTCTGCCTTTTTGGGTGGGTGATGGTAGAATCCCAAGAGGGTGCCTTCACCCCCACCTTCATCCAGAATTCAGTGTGTACATTTGGAGGTTTCCAAGGAATGTGTTGTGTGTCAAAAAAGATTCTGCCAGAGAAAGCATTGGATGTGGTGCAGCCCCCAGGCTCAGGGAGGTCTCAGACAGTTGGTGGCTCAGCCAGGCACCAGCCTAGGACTCTTGGCCATTCCTTGACCAACCCCTCTCCGTCTGGTCATTCTTTGTAGGACTTTCCTAGCCCACAGTCTCTCCTCCATCTGCCACGCTTGCAGCTCTACGGAAGGCTCTTCTCTGCAAATGCTGAGGGAGAGCCTTGCGGGTGATGGGGGGCAGAGGGGGGTGGCTACCCACAAAGCTGTGGGGATTCCTGGCACTGCATATGGGTGAGATAGGCAGATGACAGGCAAGGCCAAAGTACCAGTGTGCAGGACCCCTCAGGGTGGCAACCGTCCCAGGAACATCAGGGTTGAGGACAGCTCTGTCCATGGGCCATCCTGGTGCCCTGCAACCAGTCAGAAGCAAAGCAGTTAACCTCGTGGGCAGTGGGGTCCGGAAAGTGATCTGAGACCAGTCTTCTCATGGGTACAATGAGAGAAATAGCAGCTCTGAGCCATCAGTGTAGGAATTAAGCATGGAAAGCACTCAGCACAGAGCTGGCACACGGGGAGGGTCCCTGAACAGCAGCGCGCCTGACCCCAGGGGCTGGTTACAAGGACACGTCCATACCGTAAGAATCCTTCAGGTTGAGCATTTAAGATTTGAGCACTCAGTGCTCCTCCTGTATTTTATATCTCCATTTTGAAAACTACTTAAAAGTAAAATTAATAGCTGACATTTATATGGCACTAACCCCTGTACCGGCTACCATCCAAACCCCCTTTGCCAAGATTAACTCATTCGGTCCTCGCAACCACCCCACCAGGTCATTACTATTATTATCCCCATTTTACAGATGAGGAAAACCAAGGCCCAGAGGTGCGATCAGTTGCCTAAGGTCACACAGCTCATCAGGGACCAGGCTGGGATCTGAACTTGATCTTATCCCAGAGTCCTGGTCCTTAACTGTTTTGCCGGGCTGCCTCTCCACATGGGCGGGAATGCCTGTTTTCAGGCCTCAGTTTCCTAGGGTGGTAAACAGAACGGTTAAAATGAAAGTTGACAAGTGAACCAAATGAGATAGTGGACGCAAAGCAGCAAGCCCAGGGTCCGCCAGGAAGTCTTCAGTGTTAGCCAGATGGTGATGTTCACCTTGGGGTGCTGAAGGGCCTGTAGGGGGCAGGCATCAGGCGAGGCTTCCCTTGAGAGAGCTCTGGAACGAGGGCCCCTCCATTGGCAAAGGTGGGAATGGAGCCAGCCGGGGGCCAAGGCAACAGCTGAACCCCCCAAGGGCGCCTGCTACCCGAGCCCCAGAGGCCTCCACCCCGGGCCGGCCTCCCCAGAGAAGGGGCCAGAGGAACAGCCAAATCCCGAGGCTATAAATACCTCGGCTGGCGTCGTCCCCTGGCCCTGGAATGTCAGTCAGAACTGGGGCGAGTGGGGCTGGGCTGGCCTGGGCGCCGCTCTCTGTACCCCTGAGAGTGACCCCCGAATTGCCCTGTCCCCCATTTGGGACAGAATTGAGGCTGGACCCCACCTCTCTGTAGTAAAGGAGACCCCAGACCCCAGCCCAGATCAGGGCCCCCCCACCAGGCATCCCTCAGACTCAGCCAGGACACCCGAAGGCACTGGGAGAAGGTCAGGCTCTGGACTGAGATGACTGCACCCCACTTTCCACAAGTCAGCATCTCCCCAGGAATAGCCCAGGCCCACGACAACAAGATGGGGTCTCCATCTCACTCTCTCCTCTTTTCCTTTCAGTGAAAGAGTTCTTAGCCAAAGCCAAAGAAGATTTTCTTAAAAAATGGGAAAATCCTGCTCAGGTAAGCCCCCTGGGTACAGAGCCCTGGGAGGGATAGCTGACAGCCCCCTGCCCCTCAACTGCATCCCTGTGCCATGGCTAGGATTTTATGGCCCTGTGGAGGGCTCTAGACCTGCCCTCATTCTCTCCCTAGATGCCCATGGGGGCACCTGGTCACTCACTGCCAGGTTCCCCCACCCCACCAACCCCGTCCAACTGGCAGCCCCTGCCCCCCAGGCAGCTGCCAGCAGCTCCTGGGCCCCAGGCCAGGGCCGGATCTGGCCCCTGCCACCAGCCTTGAGGAATGTACCCTCCGCCATCTTGTTTTTCCACCCCCTGTCCTCACTCCCCTAGCTCCACCTGGTCCCCAGGGCCCCCTCTGCTGGTTGCAGAGGGAACACCCCAAACTTTGGCCTAGCAGGCTAGACGGGGTAGCGGGGTGGTCCCTGACCCTCCAGACCCTTGTGCCCACAGAATACAGCCCATTTGGATCAGTTTGAACGAATCAAGACCCTCGGCACGGGCTCCTTCGGGCGGGTGATGCTGGTGAAGCACAAGGAGACCGGGAACCACTTTGCCATGAAGATCCTCGACAAGCAGAAGGTGAGCCCAGCCCTGCCACAGTGCCCTGGTCCCAGCCACCAGGGCTTTGCCTGGGCTGTTCCCACCACCTGGAGTGGTCTTCCCACCTATCCACTCACCAGCTATTTCCTGAGCCTCCATAATGTGCCAGACCCAAGGGCGGGAAGGGTACCATGCTGCCTTCAGGAAGCTTTCCCCAGGAGGAAAAGTACCCTAAGACGTAAAGCCCACACGGGCTCAGACACCTAGCCTGTATCGAGGAAGCCAGAAGTCTTCCTGGGGGAAGTGATGTTTACACAGACCTTCTTTCTGTAAATATTTTGTTTTTGAATTTTATTTTATTTATTTTTTTATACAGCAGGTTCTTATTAGTTATCCGTTTTATACATATTAGTGTATATATGTCAATCCCAATCTCCCAGTTCATCACACCACCCCCTGCCCTTTGTAAATTTTTTTTTTTTTTTTGCCTCTCACTGCTGGGGCCTCTCCCGCTGCGGAGCACAGGCTGCGGACGCGCAGGCTCAGCGGCCGTGGCCCACGGGCGCAGCCACTCCGCGGCATGCGGGATCCTCCCGGACCGGGGCACAAGCCCGCGTCCCCCGCATCGGCAGGGGGGGCCCCA